AAAATGAAATGGAAACTGGGGGATATAGAGATTTAAGGAACTTAACTTAAGTTACTATATTGGGGAAACCCTATTATTTACTATATATACCCATTATGGTAACCAAAGAACTGGGCCTGGGGCTTACGGGATGCAGGTTGGATGGCTCTGGCCTGCACACCGCTTTGTGGGAAATTCTCGGGGGCGGCAGAAAGCCTAAACCCTAACCACCATAGTTTTACGCAGTCCTTACCAGGGAAAAACTGCCTACACCATCCTGAAGAGGAGGCCCTCGGAAACCCAAACACCCCAACTGCTCGACGCTCGACTACCGATCCCTAAGTGCGGAGACCTAACACCCAGGACCCAGACCCTGCTAAGCCCAAAGTGGAATCTGTATGTCCTAAAACCTACACCGTCTAACTCAAATACGGAAAAAAACCTTATGAAGGCCCTAGGCCTTCTTCTCAAGATCCGAGGGGCGATCACGGGTACCGCCTCATCAGAGCAGCCCTCACCTATGTCCAAGTCAGGGGCGGCCTGTGCATTGGGTTTTGGTGTTAAAGGTTTACAGTACAGTTAAGAGTTCAGGGTTTGAGGGTTTAGGATTTGAGGTTCCAGGTCAGGGGCTTCGGGTTTAAAGGATTCTCTCTTAAATGGGGGCGTCCCTAAAAGATGTGGAGGCAGTTTAGGATGTAGGATTTCGCACCGGGGTTGAGTCAAGGCTTCGTGGTGGGCATTGTCTGGGTCTTAGGGCTCCAGATGTCATGTCAAGGATTGGAGTGGCAGGCGCAGGGTTCAGGATTCAACAAACGGGGGTTGGATGCAGACTTTTTGCATCTCGGGAAAAGGCAGGGGAGGCCCTCCGACCTGCATCCTGCAGAAGGAACCACTGTAGCCAAGCGCCTCCGACACCAAATTGTTCACCGCAAATTTGCACAGCACCTATATCGAAGGTTGAGTGAGGGTCACTTTCCCTACAAGCCTCACGAATCTCAATGGCACACGGAGGACCCCGCGTGTCCGCACAGCCAGCTGCGTCTTGAAGCTGAACCCTGAAATCCAAACCTTCAAGTCACAACCTCCTCATCAACTCGAAGGCACCCAACCTAAACCCACCATGCCCATGATCCTCTGAAAAACATTTGCAAACGCTGGACCTTGATAAGCACACACAACAAACCAGCAGAAAGGGCTCCATCACAATATTTCAGCTGCAAGATAAATTTCACAACAACCAATCATAATATGAGTCAAGCCAGATGGACCAAAACGTATGTCTTTGCAACATTCTAGGGGCGCCCGTGCAAACCCTCGAGCCTCATCCCGAATCTTCGCACAACAAAACTAACTGAACCTAACCCTAGAACATTGAGACACAAACTCCTAAACCCTCAAGCTACCCCTCAATACTCAAGCCCATGTACTACGTACTACGTACTAGGTGAGGCCTACTACCTCTAAGATTGCGAGATAGCATCCACCAGCCTACGGTGAATACTAAAACCAAGTATCCTAAACCTTGGGAGTTATCGTGCTGTAGTACACTAACGTCTTGCAGGCTTTTTAGTCAATTTAGAGCCGTTTTGGAGGGAGTAAGAAGATGGCATAAAGCTACAGGCCTGGAGCCACGCATCCTCGTAGATGTTCAGGGCATCCTGATGTTTGTTGGTTATGAAGCCTTCGCTCGGGGCTATACTCAAGTGCTATATAAAGATTCTTTGTTTGGGCTGAAATAGGGAATGGAAAGCCACATGGAAAAACTAATGGAAAATGAACAGCCAACTGAGGGCTGATATGGATATATAGGGTTCAGGGCGATCTTCCTGGTCGTTCGTAAGAAAATATGAAATGTTTATCAACTGCGGGGGTAGATCGCGCAGACTATAGGGATCCACTCCTCCATTCCCTACTCTGGAGAAATCCAACTGAAGCTGCGGGGAGATGAACTTGAGGTTGGGATTTATGGAAGAGCGCTAAGGGCATAGGGAATGCATACATCAAGGTATGCACTGACGAGGATGTGCAAGGAGTCCTTTGTAATGATCTTGTGGGGGGACCAACATGAGGAAACGCGTTCAAGGTTCGAGGGCGTGAGGTGTGGGTTCATGCGTTACGGATGTTGGGGGCCCACAATCTTGTCGTTAAATTATTGTTGAGTTCAGTCCTGCATCCGCAACGAAACTGAACATCTCAACCGCTCAGACTAATTCACACAAATCCAGCTCAGTTGTTTTGCATCCGCGTCGTCCTACACTTCATATGCTAGCCTAATTGTTGCGGCTCTCGGCTCTGAATCCTACAATTCTGATCCCCAATGCTGTCAAATGCCCCAGGCACCTCTGCATGCACGACCACGGCTGCCGCATGTCTCCTTGTGAGCGTCAGCCATTGATGGTGCTTCAAAGCTCGGGGGTTGATCCCACCTGGGAGCATGGTCAGGGTCCAAGGTTGAAGGTGGAGGAAGCCCTATAAAGCCTACAGGGCTGAGGATGGTCGATTCAGAGCTCAGGGTTTGGGACTTGCGCTGGGGGTTGAAGTGTCATGGTTTAAGGATTTAGGGTTGAGGGCTTAGGCTCCAATGTTTCTACGAGAGGCATATGGGTGTTTCCCAAAGCTGCAGGACCTCTTCTACGCCTCAGAATACTATAATCCTTATCAATCACAGGGACTTCCACACAGGCAACCTAGTTGTTTTGGAGGCCTGCTCATGGAGATTAAGTGTCCAAGCCTGAATACATTGGAAACGGCCCCTACACAAAGTGAAGCGATGTAAACCTGCAACGATCATCCCAACCCGCAACCCCCGAGGCCCCAGTGCCATGAACAAGAAATATACTCACAGACCTAAGGAAAGCAAATCTAAGGAAGCCAAGCATGCCAAAATAAAGATACAAGAAGGAGCGTAAAAAAGGAACGTTTAATGCCGGGGCATGATATGAACTCTCGTCTAAACTCCAAGTATCCCTGTTAATAAGCCCTATAAGAGTCTCCTGTATAATCCCCTATATGATTCCCCTCAAAGGAGTTTAGCCTACAGTTCATATTTCACCGACATGCCTTGAGCTGCGCTTCCTCCTGCTCTACTTCTCAAGCTTGGAACAGTGATGCTACGACTTCCTGGCTGCTACTCTGCTGGGACTATAGCTCATGTGGTCCCCAAGCCCAGAACCAATTCAGTATCTACGCTGCGGAAATACGTCTGGATGATGATGAATGATGTTGTTATCCAAGCTGAACGCTCATTGGACAGAACAGATGTCATCTCTCCAAGCAGCGTGTCACGATTGCAGCCATGGCTAGCTTGCTTCCAGTCAACTTTGAAGTGCAGAGTGTCCCGCTGCAAGATTGAACACTTCATGTACAAGAACCCAGTGGGGGCTAAAGTTGTAACCCTAAACCGCAACCCACAACACTGAATCCTAGACCGTGGACACCATATCCAACGCCAAGTTGTCCCCTGTCCCACCCAACGCGTCTTTTCTGCAGCCTCGCTACGCAAGAAGTCCTGAATTGAGACAAATTTTAAGGTTAGCAGGTTAGAGCGAGATGAAAGTTCAGGTTGTGACATGTGTCAATGGGCTTAAGACTTTGGGCTTGGGAATGAAGCTTTGGGGTTTGAAAGGTTTGCAGCGTTGGGGCTTAGCATTTGAGACTTTGAGTTTGATATGCTTGGAGGGTTCACAGCCCTAACAGGATCATCCGCAGACGCCTCCCCTTCAACATCCGCAGGCGGTCTGCCTTCAAAGCGAGCGATGGCAACTCTTGTAACTCTTGTATTCAAGTCACTCTTTTTTGCTCCAAACCACTCCCTGCCTCACCTTGCAAGAAAAGCATAGCTCCACCTCTTGGATTCCGTGGCGACTTGTAGATGTTGGAGCAATCAAGGAAACTATGCGCAGTTGAAAAAACCCTGGAATCACATGGTAGTTTCATAGGAGAAGTCCATTCTGGGGCTCTTGGTTCATAGCTAGGTTTCGGATTAGTTTGTCATACTTGCTGCCGTTGCCGTACTCCTCTTGGCGAAGTTTGCGGTAGCACTTCCGGTTCGAAAGTCAAGAAAAAAAACACGTAGACCGAGCACCCTGCACCCTACATCCTGTATCTCCCAACGAAGGACGCGGAAAACATGCTGAAGGCATGCGAGCTTCGCGGAAGAAGCATTTGCGCAATGATTCCTGCTTCATCCTTGCAGGATCTAGGGTCTGGGTGGTTTAGGCTTCACGGGCGGTTGTTTAGAGGTTTTTCGGCATATCACACCCACGTACAGTGCTGATTCAATGTGCCATTTTGATGTTCGGAACATGATGCAAGTGCTGACATTGCTGGCCCTGGCTTGAGGTTGAGCATGGCCGTCAGAAAAACACGGGCCTCGGCGGTAAGAGTGTTTATTTTTTTGTTGTCTGGTCTTTTTTGTTGTTTGGGCTTTTCGGGTTTTATTTTTTTTGCTGTTTGGGC